ATATAGGCATATTACATTACTTCAGGTCAATCATATATTCATGCAAAAAAAAAATCAGTTTGAATAAGGAAAGCGATAACTTTGCCATAGGCCTGTTTAAGTTACCAGTTCTTTGAGCATTTTAATGTTTCTGTTGTTGTTATTTGAACTGAACTGTAGTTTTCTGTAGTAAACTGTCATTGTATATTTCTTATTTTATATTCATTTTCTAGTATTTAATTTACCATTATTTCTTTTGAACAAAACAATTTCAGAAATGTAATGTTTTAGATTGTAGGTCATCTTGTACCCTGTCAAGGACAAAGCTAACCAGCAAAACTTGATATCAAAAGCATCCTCAATGTTACATGTGTTTGCACCATATTGTAGTGAGTAAACTTTCTTGGTATTGCTGTTTCAAATACCCCATTTTCATTTGACCTATAATTCCTAATTTATATTCCAAATAAAACCATATTCACATATTCAGAAATTAGAAAATTCTGTAAATAACAGAAACCATCATAATACAGTGACCATAAGAAAAGACTGTAGATTCCAAATAAAACTATATTCACATATTTGAAAATTCTGTAAATGACACACAAATAAAAACAATAAACTATGACCATAACAGAACAGGCCATAAATGTCACATTTCCGAACAAGGCTGACCCTGCTCATTAATGGCTTGGTAGATTACGGGAAAGAAACACTAGCATGTTGACTTTCTCTGGCTTCAGACAACATCTAACTGGGGTCACAATATTGCCAGCTGTACTGAACATTCTTTCTGAAGCAGTACTTGTTGCACAAATGCAAATGTTTGCCAATTTGGACATTAAAGGAAACCTGGATTCATTATCTCTCCACCACAACAGAGGATCTGCTGAGGTATCTAGTGCCTCTTCCTGTAGGCACCGTGTCAGTTCAGCATCAGCTTGCACTCTTTTTGGCAACACATGGTTAGATGATTGAGCACTTCTGTGCTGCAGTAGATCTCACAGCCTTTTGATCTTTTTTGGTGCAGGAGGTGTTGTATCCACATCATCTTCTACCACTGCTTCGTTAGATACTGTAAAGAGTGAAGGGCAGCGGTTATCTTAAAGTATATATCTTAAAATATATATTCACATAACATTTGTCAAATATTTTTATAGTGTATTTTCCACCTTCCTCTTGTCCTCCTTCTGTCATCTCCATCGTCTCTTTTAAAAGCTCATCTTTGGTGTCACTTATGATTGCTGCTTCTCCAAAGTGACCCCTGTACCTTGGGTCAAGAAGGGTGGCCTTTCTCAGGAGCTCTTGAAGTTTAGCTGGGCTATATTTCTGATCAAAAACAGCACACATTTTTGTCTTGATATTTTCTGTTAGAATTGTGTCCTTGGGGTCAGGGGATAAGAGTTCCCCTTTTAAAAGGTCCAGGACAGGCTTCACTGAAGACACTGTCACATACTTTTCCCCTGAAAAAACATCAGTGAAATCAGCCAGAGGTTTCAGTGCTGCATTAATGGACTCAAGGACAGATACATCCTGCCAGGTCGGGTTCAGGTGCCCATGTTTTCTGTCATCAATCAGGACACGTCTGATTGCAGGTAGCTGTTCCAGAACTCTGTCAATCATTCTGTCAAATCATCCTGGAGGAAAAATGATATATTTGGTATAGTTTTATAGTTTTGTTAATAACTACATTTACATTACAAAAATAGTTTCAGATACAAATTTGTGATCATTTCAATTTGAAATAAGGATTAATATTTATATTACTTTACGTTAAATAATTTTTTTTTACATAATTATATATAATAATAATAATGAATGTAGTGTGAAATAATATATAAAAAAAGTTATTTTTATTAGATAGATAGTAATAAAATATTTCACTCACCAGAATTAAACTGTTGTTCTCCGTCTGTGCCTTTTTCAGGTCAGTTTCTTTATCCAACTCATACTGAAGGTGGTTACCAGATTTCTACACAGTCCTAGGGCACGAGCTGTGCGCTCTCTCACTTGCTACAGCATTTGAGACAGCCAAATGGAGATTATGGCCAACCAAGTTTGCCCACTGCAGCCACAATATTAGCTCCATTATCTGTGGTAATGCAAGACATTTTTTTTTTCATCTAATTCCCAGTCCGATAAAATACACTTAAGAGTTTCTGCTAGATTATCAGCTGTGTGGTTTTCTGGGGTGTACCTTGTCTCTAGACATTTTGACTGTAGAGTCCAGTCAGCTGTGATGTAATGAACTGTAAAGCTCATGTACGGAGTCATGTTTGAGCTGGACCACATATCTGTAGTAGCGGAATAAATATCTTCCTTCACTTGATTGTACAAATTCTGTATTGCCGTTTTGGAAATGTTTTTCCTGGCAATTCATACTTGTCGAAGTTCTGCAGCATTTCTTTAAAGGGGTCATATGATGCGATTTCAAGTTTTCCTTTCTCTTTGGAGTGTTACAAGCTGATTGTGCATAGACAAGATCCCTGAAGTTGCAAAGACTAAAGTCTCAAAACCAAAGAGATATTCTTTATCAAAGTTAAGCGGGGCATAGAGGACCTACAATAATGTACAGTATTTGAAAAATAAATACCCAAATACACAAAATAATGATCTTTAAAAAAGCATCATATGACCCCTTTAAATGCTGTTTTTTCCACCGTATTAAACGGCTGCATTTCCTTCGCAATGTACCTAGTAACACTGTCTGTCAGTGTGCGCCATTTGATGCTGTCAAGTTTATATTTCGTTACCCATTCAAAAGCCTCAGCTATTGGAAGCTGACGGGATGTATGTGCGGTTTTGGATGCCTTGCAAACCTCGGCAAATTCATTGGGATGATGTGTCTTTAGATGGTTTCTAAGATTTGTGGTGTTGGCGCTTTTCGCTGGTATTTCTCTTTTACATATTCGACACACGGTTGTGTCAATGTCTTTCGGCCGTCCTTTTTCGTCAGGTTTAAAACCAAAATGTGCCCAGACAGGTGCTGTCGTTTTCGGCTTCGATATTAAATCCATCTTTGCTGTATAATTGCACTGATATGGCTCAGTGATTCAAAACTCCGCAGAACAGTGTCATTTGAACTTAACACGCGTATTTGCTTAGCGTAATGCATGCAGAGCAAGCATGTTGGGAAGTAGGGTGCAGCAGGTACTACAGTTCCCCCTTGTGGCTAATAAAAGTGTGCAATAATTGCGGTTATGTCAAACAATTGCGATCATACGGTTATTTAATAATCGTGGCAGCCCTAGTGCCTTCTAAAAATCGAAACAATTAAGACTTGTATTAAGTCTTGGACTTATAATATAAGATTAATATAAGACTTATAAATTAATATTTATAAGTTTTAAATTGACAATTTATATGCTTGATTTATCCCTTTTACCCCTTTTTTATCCCTTTATATGCTTGATTTATCCCTTTTATCCCTGTTCTAAAGGCTGAAATGCTGTTGTATAAGATTTTTGTTTTTGTGAAAACCTGTATCTGAACTAAATCATATAATTTTATGGCTCAATACTGTATGTTACCATAGACATTGTCCAACCCCACTCACAATGTGTTCATTTGACTTTTGCATCTCTTAAAATGGGTCATAAATTGCCTTACATTTATTTGTACAAATTCTGCAGATACCCTGTAAATGGTGAAATAAAATTCCTTCGTATTTGTTGATATTTGTGTATTGAAAATATTTTTCATTGACATTTAAACTCCTATCTTAATTTTCTATATAAAAAAAAGGGTATTTTTTTATTTGGGCTAGTTAAATACATTTTCGGGCTACCAAAATCTGAAGAGTACCTGCCCAAAGGGCTACCAGGGATGACAATATTTCCAGAAATAAAGTGTCCCCAACTAAGCAAGCCAAATGTGACAGTGACAAGGAACCAAAACTACATCAGTGACAGAAATGGAGGAGAAAAAAAAAAACCTTGGGAGAACCCAGGGTCAGTCGAGTCGAGTCGGGTCGGGGGGTCGGGGGGGGGGCAGTTTCCCTCTGGCCAGATGAAACCAGCATGGTGTGGTCAGGGCTCGAATTGAGGGGGGATGCTGGGGGATGGCATCCCCCTGTTTGAAAAAATTACAAAAAGCATCCCCTCAAAAACCACCATCCCTCCTAACCATCCCCTTTAGATTAATAATGTTGTGTATTATGTCAAATTTATCATGCAAATCAAATGTTAAAATCTCTACTTGTGATTTTTCAAGAACTAAATAACAGCGATTAACCAATCAGAACTCGGTACTGTAACAAGCTCCACAAAGCTAAAGCAAGTTTTCGTCATTTTTCGTGCAAAATGGTTCAAGCGCAACTTTTGAAGACAACAGAAGGTATGATTTCTCCTTGATTAGAATTGAAAGACATTCCCCTGATACAAGTATGTGTGACTGTGAGGGACTGAGAGGCAATAGGAGAGCTGGCATTATCATGTGTGTCACCGACACACCCATACCGGTCAGATGGTCCTCTTGAAGTGGTGGTGTTTGATGAACTGAACAGCTTTTCTTCCCTCTTTGCGGTGAGCCACCACATTGTCTCTGTTCAAATGTTCGATTCGAGTTTTAAGTTGGTTCACAAGGGAAGCATTTGCACTCCCAATAGGGTATATGTCGAACGTCACGTGACCACACCGGAACCCTGGGTTACTCGCTTCCGCTTGCCGGCAAGTACGTTAATGTGCTATCGTAGCTTGTTTGTAAGTTTGTTGTTATTCGTATTATTTGCATGTTCTTTTTTATTTTAATATCTGAATGTTTTTGAGAAGAAAATGCCTTTGTCAAAAGCCTTAAAGTATCAAAAAAAGGAAAATCCTAACAGTGATTTTTGCTGTGTGCCTCAATGCGCGGTGTCTGGGCAGTTCAATTCAAGCGTAACTTTTCACCGCTTCCCAAAGGAAGAAACGTTAAGAAAAATATGGATTCGTAATGTGAGACGTGAAAATTTGGTAATTAAGAGGAACACGGCAGTCTGCAGTAGACATTTCATCTCCACGGATGTCATTCAATGTAGACGACGACGCTTAAAAGAGGGGGCTGTGCCTGTTTTGTTTGCCTGGAATGACTACTCTCTACCGGCAGCCAGACCAAGCGTCTGGGAGAGAACACAACGGCCAGAGAATGAAGTCACTGAAGAGGTAAGCATGGATGTTGAAGTGTTGCTTCAGTGCCACGATTACGATGCCAAGCCAGACCCATCAGCATTGGATATGGCTTGTGAGAAAATAGAGGCGCAACAGCAGGTGATTGAAGAACTGCAAAAGAGGCTGGAAGAGGTTACACTGAAGCAGTCATTTGGTTTGGAGAGGTTTTCATCATCGGACGATGACATCAGATTCTATACCAGGTACATATTTGTGTTTCATGATATTCATATCAATGTGGTAATGACTTTGTTGCAGACTTAAGGCCGTTCACATTCATTCATTAAATAACCTTATTATACATTCATAAGGGGAACCCTATGAGCACAAGGTCATATTTAAGAATATAAATAAAAGTAAGATGAGACTTAAACAAAACACATAGGCCTGGTTTCACAGACAATGTTTAGGCTAAGCCAGGATTAGGCCATTTAGTATATTTTTATAAACATGCCTTAGAAAAAACATTATTAGTGTGCATCTTGAGACAAAACAAAGGCACTGATATGTGTTAAAATCAGTCAGTGCAAGTTTCTTTTAGTAGAAATAATCAGGAATGCTTTGAAGGTAATGTTTCTTTCAACGTTTTAGATTTGCCAGCTACCGCCATCTACAAGCATTTTGGAGAATGATTGAACCTGTAACTAGGAGAATTGTGCGTGTTGGTACACGGACATCCACTTCCAACACAGCTGGAGCACCTCGTCGACCGGTAAGAATGGCTCGTACTGCATCATTTGGTTGCTTTAAGTTGTCCATGTTACAGTGTAATTTATACAGTGAGTAATATTAATTACAGTGATGGGCAACTTCAGAGTTTAGCTCCAAACCTAATTAAAACACCTGCCTGTAGCTTTCTAGTGATCTTGAAGACATTGATTAGCTTTTTCATGCGTGTTTGATTAGGGTTAGAGCTAAACCCTGCATGACAGTGGCCCTTCCAGGACCGAAGTTGCCCAGCCCTGCAATATCATGTACTTATTGTAGGGTATTGTAGGGTTAGGATTAGTTATGCATAGTTACATGTAAGGACATGTAACATGTCTAACAATGACACTAAAATAAAGTGTTACCCATTATTTGGTTTTTAAAAGCAAATTGCTTATTAATCCGCACCAAAGACGACCGTAATATATATTTCAATATACTTAAAAACATACATTTATTATAAAAAGGAAATTATCGTCAGTATTAATGCCAAGACTTGCTCCCCTGCCTCCTTACCAGAGCCGATGCCTTCCACTGATCGATGAACTGTTCCTCTTCTTGGTTTACCTGTCGCTGGGTCTGAAGGAGAAGGATCGGTTCAACATTCATCAGTCCACCGTCAGCAGGATCATAAAGACTTTTTTATATACTTTACTGGGTGCTGTCGGAATATGGATGTCTCCTGAGGACATTAGAGCCACAATGCCGAGTGTGTTCGGCAAATACTCTGACACCCAAGTTATCGTTGATTGTACTGAGCTGAAATGTCAGACACCTTCATCTTTACTCTTACAGAGTGAGATGTAGTCTGCTTTGTTCCTTTGAGGATTCTTTCTGCAAGAGACTCTGCAGAACTCACTCCCCTGACAAAACACACCTCTCTGAAACGTGAAGAGGTAATTCTAGGTCTACGTAGCTGATGCCACTCCTGTTCTGCTGCTTGCTCTCTTGTGGCAGCCTCAATCTTATAGGCCATGTCCAGTGTGATCATCAAGCTCTTAAGGTGGAAATGCTCCTCCTCAGTGCACACATGCACACATTTTGTAGGTTCAAGCCTGTACTCACCAAGAGGCAGTGGTGGGTAAGATGGACAATCTTGGTGCATGTTGACTGACTTTGTTGGCATTATAGGCTGCTGGTAAGAGAGTACACTCCCCTTCTGTGCCAAGCCAAATGCTGTCTCTACAAGGGTTTTCTGTTCACATATGCCCATAGTTGCCACTAAAGGTTTCTCTGTGATTGCAAAGTCTTTGAATATGTCTTCAATCTGCACCAAAGACATGTCAAGGGGGTCCCCAACCAAGCCCTTGTAGAGTGTACTTCTGTTAAAGACAGCAATGGTCACGCACTGACAAGTAAATATGTTTAAGAAACAGTTTTACCATATTTCGAGAAGTGTACAGCAGGGGTATTCAAAAATACCTATGAGTGCAGCATCTCCTATCCACCTTTTTCTTTAACACGCAAGTAAACCTATGGGTGAGACTTTTACTATACTGCCTATGACCCTGTAGATTGTATAACCATCCATGAACCATGAAGTATTTACAGTGATGGGGTCGGGTCTGCGTAGTACATTTAAGGCATTTCTCGGGTCTGCACGGGTTCGGGTCCCACTTTTAAATAAAATACGGGTCTGGGTCAGTTCCTTGCAGCACATTTACGGGTCTCTTTGTGTTCGGGTCAGAAATACAATTGCATTGAATAATGTTATGAGATTTGTTTTAAATATTTTTTTGAATATACAAACAAGAAATGATGGTGGAAATTATACGTTTAAACTAAATTAAAACGCCAGCAGGTGCCAGTAGTGAGCTTTTAATTAGTGAGTCACTGAGTTGTTCATTCAAGCGATTCGTTCAAACGGCTGATTCATCAGATGTTTATGCATGGGCTAATGAAACTTTGACTCAACCGATTCGTTCAAAACACAGAATCATTCAGCAATGAATCAGCTGGTTTCTGTGAGATGCGCTATGGTTCCGCCTAAAATGTAAGTGAACTAATATTATTGTACTTGCTTACTGAACTGTTTATTGAACTATTAACAGGCATAATGGTGAAAATGTTGTGTGATGTTGCCTAGCTAACTGTATTTTAAATATAAAAACTTTTCATTTAGATTTTTTACCTCAGCATGCTTGTCTGGCGGTAATGAAGCGTTAATGTCGAGCCCCGGAATCAATGTGCCGGGGCTCAAACCCCGGACGGCCCTGACCAAATTTAAACTCTGGGAATACGACACCTATCTAAGTATTCATATATAAGGTCCCTCAGTATTATCAGCAGTTTTTGCATTGCTCAATAGCTAATTCCCCCCCTCCATCCCCAGCTCCTCCTCTGTCAGTCAGGATTCAGCCTTCTGGTTATACAATACAATATTGTCAACCATGGTTCAATATCCTTTGAATCAGACTAATTCTAAATGTGTACATAAAATGATTGAACTTTAACGATACCTGCAATACATTTATGTTGGTTCTGTTCTGTTTACCCTGGGGGGGGTTATCGCTGCTCTCAGGGAGTTCTTGCCCAGAACAGAACCATACCGCCAATTCAAACTATGCTAATTGTCAATCATCTTTGACGATAGTGGTCCTGACAGAAATACTATTTAAAAAACACAACATTGGAAATGCACACTACAGAACAATTAACTGCACTATACAACAATCTATATACAGTTATGTACATTACCGTCTGTGCGTACTTCAACTGGCCTCAGAAGTTCTAGCAGATCCTCCTCTTTCACAAATTTCAAATCAGCTGGGGACAGCTCTACTCCAATATTTGTTCGTTTAATGCTAGTAGGGGTTGAATGTATTAAGCGCCAGTATTGCGGTATTTTAAAAATTAATATCATAACAAAAATAAACACCGGTATTCGGTATGAACCGGTATATCGCCCAGCACTACTTCGTACCCCATCGGGTAGAGACATCCTGGAGGAAAAATGACATATTTGGTATAGTTTTATAGTTTTGTTGATAACTACATTTACATTACAAATATAGTTTCAGATACAAATTTGTGATCATTTCAATTTGAAATAAGGATTAATATTTATATTACTACTAATAATAATAATGAATGTAGTGTAAAATAATATAAACAATAATCCTTATTTCTCTGAAATTCTCATATTTGTATCTGAAACTGTAATATCATTTTTATTAAAACATTTATTTATAGATAGTAATAAAATATTTCACTCACCAGAATTAAGCTATGTTGGGGGATGTTGGTCTCCGTCTGTGCCTTTTTCAGGACTCTTTTCTTTATCCAACTCATACTGAAGGTGGTTACCAGATTTCTACACAGTCCTAGGGCACGAGCTGTGCGCTCTCTCACTTGCTACAGCATTTGTGACAGCCAAATGGAGATTATGGCCAAAGCAATTTAGCCATGGCCAACCAAGTTTGCCCACTGCAGCCACAATATTAGCTCCATTATCTGTGGTAATGCAAGACATTTTTTTTCATCTAATTCCCAGTCCGATAAAATACACTTAAGAGTTTCTGCTAGATTATCAGCTCTGTGGTTTTCTGGGGTGTACCTTGTCTCTAGACATTTTGACTGTAGAGTCCAGTCAGCTGTGATGTAATGAACTGTAAAGCTCATGTATGGAGTCATGTTTGAGCTGGACCACATGTCTGTAGTAACGTAATAAAAAGCAATTTGTTTCAGATCTGTAACAATATCTTCCTTCACTTGATTGTACAAATTCGGTATTGTCGTTTTGGAAATGTATGTTTTTCCTGGCAATTCATACTTGTTTCAGCATTTCTTTAAATGCTGTTTTTTCCACCGTATTAAACGGCTGCATTTCCTTCGCAATGTACCTAGTAACACTGTCTGTCAGTGTGCGCCATTTGATGCTGTCAAGTTTATATTTCGTTACCCGTTCGAAAGCCTCCTCTATTGGCAGCTGACGGGATGTATGTGCGGTTTTGGATGCCTTGCAAACTTCGGCAAATTCAGTGGGATGATGTGTCTTTAGATGGTTTCTAAGATTTGTGGTGTTGGCGCTTTTCGCTGGTATTTTCTAGTGTCATTTGAACTTAACACGCGTATTTGCTTAGCGTAATGCGTGCAGAGCAAGCATGTTGGAAGTAGGGTGCTGCAGGTACTACAGTTCCCCCTTGTGGCTAATAAAAGTGCGCAATAATTGCGGTTGGGTACAACGACAATTGCATCAAACAATGTCAAACAATTGCGATCATACGGTTATTTAATAATCGTGACAGCCCTAGTGCCTTCTAAAAATCTAAACAATTAAGACTTATATTACGTCTTGGACTTATAATATAAGATTAATATAAGACTTAAAAAATTTATATGTATACGTTTTAAATTGACATAATTGATATGCTTGATTTATCCCTTTTCATAAAAATGGTATAAAGGCTGAAATGCTGTTGTACAAGATTTTTGTTTTTGTGAAAACCTGTATCTGAACTAAATCATGTAATTTTATGGCTCAATACTGTATGTTACCATAGACCAGCGGTGGCGAACTCCGGTCCAAAAACTCATGGATTCGCTACAGGGGGCCTTTATTCATCGACTGCGGCACGTTTTATTATGAATGCGCAAGCTTTATTTGACGACTTGTGGACTGTTCAACTGCAACACCCGCTGACTGCAACGATTGAGCTTGGAATAGCCAGGACGATTTTTAATATAACTCCGACTGGATTCGTCTGAAAGAAGAAAGTCATATACACCTAGGATGCTTCGAGGACAAGTAAAACACAAGCTAATTTTCATTTTAGGGTGAACTAACCCTTTAATATAAACAAGTGGAAAAATATTGCATGAAGTACAGCACATTACTGTTAATATTTTCCGACTGCCCGTTATGTTCTAAGGATTTTCTAGAAGAGGCTGAGGACGCTGCTGTGCTTGTGGAAGCAGATGCAGGAACAATACTATCAAATCTTGCTGCCTCGTTGAGTAAGTGGTCACCTACTGGGACAAGAAAGTATTCAGTTAACAAATTACATAAATACTTTGGTTTCTTTCAATATTGTGTTTACCTACGTTCTTTGAAAGTGTACACCTATTGGTGTTACAAAATCCAGACTCACACAAAACAACGTTAATAAGGTTAACGTGTCTTATTTTAAATGGCAGGAGTGAATCAGTGACAGGTAAGTTGAAAAAAATCTAATGTTGAACACACACAACTTATTTGTCAGTGACTGGTGAGTATCTGTTGTGATTTGGGAAAGTGAACAGCAAAAATGTATGGAAGTGAATGAGACTGGAAGCAGAGATGGAAACTTGAGTCTGCGACTTGGATTCGAGTTGCACTTAAGTTGCATAAATAAAGACTTGGGACTTGACTTGGACTTGGTAAAAAACGCAAGTCATATGATATGGGAGTTAATATGAATGTATCTCTGAGGGCAACTGGCTGTCTTTAGAAAAGTTTAGATGATATTTTCTTTTTATCTTGCCTCTGTAATGCATATTAAAGTAGTGTTCATAACCACAGCGCTGCTTTGTTTACAGCGGCAACCAAGGAAACAGTGTTTAATTGCTGTTCAAGCACCACCTGCTGGCAGAGAGTGAATCTGCATTCTAATTCAGCCTGTCTACTGTTTTGTTACGTGCAGATGTTTTATGTAGAATATTTTCACAAAACTAAAGTCAGACCATTTTGTTTTTGCTTCAAATTTCGAAATTATACAATCCAATGTAGATTAAAAACTGCTCATGCTGCATGTATGCAGCCTCTTTGTTAGGATTGTGTTGTGTTTAAAATACTGTGGTTGCCTCTAATTTTAAATTGAAAAAGAGCA